GAAGTTATTATTCTATTAGCACCACCTACCTGTCTGTACGATGGTGCTGTGCTGGTTCGTGGATATTTCAGAATGAGTTAATTAATTAATGAGCTGATTGAACAGGTGAGATGTTTTATGGTTTATTCTCCGTCTATCAATTAATTAATTAATTGATTGATTAATTTATTAAATCTATTAAAAATAGAATACTGTAAAGGTATTATTGCTTCTTAATTAAAAAACACGCTTTATGAATGCACTTTACACAAAAATAGGCAAATCTGTTGATAATATTGTTTAACATTGTTCATATTACACGTGTTGGGGCGGGCAGACTAATGTATAGCACGCCAGCAGTAGCAAGCAGTGACGCTGAGTTGCATCTTCCAACTTTGATGCCATATCATGATTATTTTATCACTATCACGTGGCTCTATCATTTGATGGCTGATATGTAAATAAATGAATAAATAAATAAAACTTAATGTTGAAGCATAAGTACGTAAATGTACACGCATGCATCGGAGGTCAGACAAAATTTGAAACTTGAAGATGTTGCTTGCAAGGTTGGCTAAGACAAAATTGAACAAAATTTCATATAAGTTGGAGAAAAGTTTGACTGAAAACTATCTTAGCCCCTCCCCTTCAACAACTAAACTACTGGTTTTAATAGCAAAATCTACTACAAATTGTGGGATACGTATAACAAAGGTCGTCAATTTTTTAAAACTAACTTATACCCTCAGAGTAAATTTGTAGAATCGCTTCTCCACTGACTATCATTCAATAATTATTACTACCATTTAATTAGTGTTAGTACCATTTAATTATAGTTTAATTATGCAATTGGTTTTATATGATAATAATTATTATTTAAACATAATAATTATCGCAGCTCGCGTACAGCAGCGTTCAATTACCACCTCAAACAAATGAAAGCTGAGCCCGGTCTGCTATCAAAACTAACGCTGATATGAATAACAATAATAACGTGTGCAATAAATATCTGATAAGTATCAAAAAACAAAGGTAAAATTTATTTAGCAGGCACTTCTAAATAAATTTACAGCTTGTTAAATATTTTTTATTTACTTAAAATTTATTTTAATGTGCGTTTAAGCATCAGGCGTTTTTGTTAGTAGGCCGGGTCTAAGAATGTTCGTTTATACATATGAATATATACGTATGTATATGTGTGTGTGTGGCTGTGTATTGGATTATTGTTTGATAAACTTTTGTGTACTTTTAGATTAGACAGACACATTTATTTGTATGTTTATATTTTAAGAACAGCCATTCATCATTTGTCATCATCAACATCATCTTCATCATCAGCTTCAACCTCATTCTCTGCATCATCGTCATCTTGCGCCTATTAAATAAATACACATCCACAAATTTACTCGCAGAGGAATGTCATCTCATGAATTATTAATTTCACGAACTGGTGCAATGATAATAATATGATAATTAGATGAGTCACTCTTATTATAATCATTACATACATACCATGCCAGCCCGGTCAATTAAGATGTGTGGAATTCGCTGGTCGCTATTCATCATGCTTGATTTAACTGCTAATTATTCATTAAACATTCAACGAAAATGTCATAAAATAGTGGATCACAACCGAAATGTATTTAAAATTTTCATTTTGGGCTCACATTCAACAAATTAATTTAATTGAGTGAACATTAGTTTTGATATTTTTGTGGCAAAAAGCAGAAATTGTACATGAATGAATGAATGAAGTTTTGAAGCATTTTTTTAATTTGCTTACAAATTGTTTCAATTTGATTGAATTAAAAATCACTTGCCAAAATTTGAACTTTGTAATAAACTGAAATGAACAGCTTCTCTGCTTTCATTCATCTTTAATTGAATTATCTGATCGTGAAAGTGTCATTCGCAATCATCCGAATTAATTTCTCATTTTGGTTGATGAAATTTTTGAGATAAAACTTTCGGAGAGATGCTCTTGAAAATTCAACTTTTTACACTTATTTTAGTGGATAATTGATGCTAGAAAATTATTTAGACAATTTAAACACGCCAAAATACTAAATTATTGAATACCAAAAAATTTTGAAATATGGATGAAGACCAACAAACAATTGTCGATTTTAAAAACTCCATGTTAATCCCACCTACCAGGGATATTTTCAACTGATGTAAGAGTTCTACCACTCGACTACACCCACTCAACAATGCATGCGCTGCACACACTAGCCTTTTCCATCTTGCATGAAGATTTTTGTGAGTCCGTGCTAAACATCCCGGGACTCTATAATGACAACCTCGGGAATCGTGCGTTTAGTTGCATTGTACTTTGTCGTTGATGTTGAAGGTGCAGTTGATGTTGCAGATGATGTTGCAGTTGCAGTTGATGTTGCAGTTGCAGTTGTTCGTTGGATGACTACGCATTATGTTGATGTTGTTTTATGTTTAGGCCGTGTTTTCCTGTTATACACGTTACTGCAGTAACGAGGTTGTCATCATAATTTCATGAATAATTTCATTTAATTCCTGATAAAGGGAGATTTCTTGCAACAAGATCTCTTGCCATTCTGCTCGTTGTCAGTTCACGTCATCGTCATCTCCCGTGTAGTTACATTGGCTTCGTCATCACCAATATCCTAATCACAGTCGTTGCTTTTGCTATCAAATCGTTATTATCACCAGCATCATTGTCAATTATCATCAACCCAATGTCAGGCATTTGTCCGCGTCATTCCTTATTATCAGTGATTGCATTAAAATACACCATTACCAACACAAACCAAGGTGAAGATACCTCTAATACTAATAGCGACAAGTATATGCTCGCATTCAGTGAAATTTAATTGTTTGATTTTTAAGTAGTGAACAGTTTATTCACTGAATGCCTCGCGGTTTGGCTAGGCTATTTCAATATTAATAAGTTTGTGCTGAGATGTGATGATAGCAAGTGATGTTGGGTGGGGGGGGGGGAAGATCATTCGATTGAATGGTGGTGATGAGAACAATGATGAAGAAGAAAAAGTTGAAGAGGAAGAAGTTGAAGATTAAGAAGTTGATGAAAATGAATAAGTTGATGATGACGGAGGAAAAAAAAAGATAGGTTGAAAAAGGATGTCAAAAAAAGATGACGATAATAAGAATGATGACGATGATGATGGCAATAAGAATGATGATGATGACGATAAGGATGGTGACGATAAGGATGGTGATGATGATGATGGAAATAGTAATCAATGATGTAGCTATTAATGAAGATGGTGAGGTCGCGAGGATAACTGATTATATGATGGTGATGATGGTGAAGGTGATGATGATGATAGTGATGATGATGATGATGATGATGATATGATAATAGTAAAAAAGAGGATGGTGGAAATGATGAGAATAAGAATAATTAAAAAAATATCACGACTATGATGGTGAAGAAATATACAAGCCCATTTCATTCCATTCATCATACCTGCGTAAAATTCAACTGTTGCAAATGAATGAGTTATAACTTAATTAGTATCAATCGCTTCAATCACTACATACATATCTACTTACATAAATAAATATATCAATATAATGCATAGAATGCATACACATACATGCATACATGAATACATAACATACATACTTCAAAATAAACATTCACATGCACATACATAACATGCGTAAACAAAATGAGATACACTCTCACACACAGAATATACATACATTTGTATATACAGCATACACAAACATGCTTGAATTCATTATATGCATTCAAACAAACAAACATTCACACATGTATCAATATAAACGCGTACATATATCAACACGCATAAGTATAAAATACAGACACACATACATGCATACGTGTTTATAATCACAATGTTTAATGCCATACACAAATGTTTCTTTCATGTTAAACAATCCAGCCCACCATTTGACGAATTTAATATGTTTAATGGGCTTAAAGTGTATAACACGCAAGCTATGCGTGTGCGTGTTGTACATGTTTAATAATAAGTTTTAACTTGTTAGGTACGTTTTAAACAAACAACAAACGAAATGTTCTTTAAATTAATATCACCTTAAATGGATTCAAGCAGTCACATACTTCAATATAAACTTATCGCTTATCAAGTCATTAGTTTGCACAATCGTAATGATGAGGCATGCTCATTTTAAACTTGCATGCGTTAGACCGATATATGTTCAACTAACTTTCGCGCGTAACGTTTATTTAATGCGTAAAAGGAATCAAATAAAATGTTTAATATTGTTTTAAGCGCTTAATCTCTGAGCTATATTTAGTCTCGAAAGCATGCTATGTTTTAAAAATACGTAGTTCTAATGTATCGCAGAGTTCAGCATTAAATCTTCTCACACAGGCACTGGCACATTGAAAAGTGCAAGCTGTCAGAATGAACACTACAACACAACTTTTATACACGAATCTTTGTATCAAGTCAACGTTCAATACATACACAACCATAAAATTATACAATACAAGTTTATACAAAGGCTACATAGTGCTCTGTTCATTATATCACGTACAGTACATGTGTAACTGTAGATAGATTAACATTAACTGACTAACCAGAGTTTGTTTGTGTTTGTGTGTTTACGGTGCATGTGTGTGTTTGTTTGTGTGTTTGTCTAGTGTAATACGGTTTGTGTGCGTGTGTGTGTTTGTTTGTGTGTTTACGGTGCCGTAGCACGTTTTGTAAATTATCCTGTTGTAATGTATAATACATGGGGTAATTTTATAACGTGTAGGATTTCAGAGAAACAGATTATTTCTAATGATCGAGTAGTAATTATCGAATGATTGTTCAGTGGAATCACCAACGATAACAACACACAAGTTTGATTTGCAATCTAAGCTAAACTTTTTGGCATGTAACAGTTATTTATAATTAACATTTCTCTCTAAACATTTCCTACATATTTTATGATGTATATGCATGCATGGATTGGATAAGTCTATTATAACGGTACCCAACACATTTCCATTACTTCACTCACGTGTGCGTTCGCTTGTTTGATATTCCGTGTATTGGTTTGGTGTACTAGATAAGATAAAATTTATTTCGACTTGTCAGTGGAGTTGACTGACTGATAACGAAATGGAAGGAAATTTTTGCTGGTTTGTTAGACAAATTTTCTTATCACAATTTTATTAGTAGTATACATTTTTAAATAGAATTAAAAGATTCAAGTAATTAAAAAATAATTTCCTAATCGTTTGAATATTTGAAACGTTCATCAGAAAACTTCATAGAGATAGACAGTAAACAAATGATTATATTGATCATCACAAGTTTAATTCACGTATTTAATTAGCAATTTGAGATTCTGAAAATTGAAATTGAAAAATTGAAATAAACAATTTCTCATGCGCCGTTCATTAATTGCTAAAAATTTCAACTGTTTCATCTCCAGAAAATATAAGCTAAACAAAACTAACTCATCGAACGTATAAGAACTGAGTAGAAGAGAGAGTGAGTAGAAGAGAAGAGAGATTGCTGACCACAAACATGTCGTCGGCACCGACCTCAGCGTCATCGTCAGCATTAAGGCAGCACAAAACAGCGACACTGCAGCAGAATCCCGCTTTCCAATATTTCCAATCAAAGGAGCAGCTATCGAGGGTCGTTTCTCAACCAGCAGCTCAACAACAACAGCAACAACAACAACATCTCAGTTCCCACAATTTGTTGCGCCAACAGTGCAACAGTGTTGATGAGGATCTCTTTGATTCGCCAGCTGAACATTTTCATCTTAGCGCCAACACCATTCCCCGCAAACAAAATAAAAATTTGGTTCCTAATATAGAAAACAATTTCAGACAACTTAACAACAGCCACAACATCAACAACAACAACATAAACAACATCATCGACAACAACATGAACAACATTATAAACAACAACGTTACTGACAATAACATTAACGACCACAACATTATCAACAACAATATTAACAATAATCCTAGCATCAACAATGGCAATACAGCGAATATTAAAAACAATGATTACACAAATGATAATACTAATATAAAAAACAATAATTTTAGCAACAGTTGCAACAACAACACTCACAGCTACAACAACAATAACACTTATAGCAACAGTGTCACACAGACCAACAACAAAAACAGCAACTCCGAAGTAAACAGCGAACACATAAATTTAAATACTACTGCTGACATTAACAACAACATTGACAACATCAAAAACAGCAGCAACAACAACAGTGACAATAAAAATTCTAACAGACCGTTGCAAGAGATAAGTGATGGGTTAGACAGCAACGTTAGTTGCGCTGCTAGCAAAAACAAGAAAAACAACTACGATAAGGTTATTGATAACATCAAAAACTTTGCGAACCATTTTCACAACATCAACCACAGCAACCACAGCAGCAGCAGCAACAACAACAACAACGGCAACACATTCAAAAAAATTTATGAAACAAACAGAGATGACAGCCACCTCATAGACATCAGCAGCAGCAGCAACAACAAAAACAGTGTTCATAAAAATTCAAACAATGTTGAACAGCAGCCTGGCGACCAATATATCGTGCAAGATGGCTCGAACAATCAAGCTGCCAACAAAACAATTCCTAGCGCAAAAAATTACCAAAAATGGAAAAAGTTTAACAGCAATAACAACAACAACAGCAACAACAATAACAAAGAATCACAAAATAGCAAACCTTGGGCATTCAGATCACTGAGAGCTGAAAAATCTCATGAAGCAGCAGAACAGACTGCCAGCAATTCAAACAACAGTAACAAAATTTCTCAAAAAACATCCAATAACATTTTAAATTTTGATTGTAAACTTGTTGACCCAAACAAAAACATCAGGGTAAATAGTGACATTAACAGAAATAACATCACCACCAACAAAATAAACAACAATGTAAATATTTCTATGACTTCTAAATATGCTACTGACAACATTAAAAGCAGTGTAACCAACAATAGCAACGCCAATGACATCAATGCCAACAACAACAAAAACAACGTTACAAACGACAACAAACATTTGAACAACAACAACATCAGCAAGAGCAACAACAATATCAACAACAACATCAAGATCAACAACAATAATATCAACTACAACAGCATCAACAACAACAACATCAACAACAACAGCAGCAACATCAACGTCGTCACTGAATGTCCTCATTGCAAAGTCGGTAAAGAGAAGTTAGACGAAATGACCAAACTGAGTGAAGAGCTGGAGAAAGAACTGACTTCATTAAAAAGCGATATGAACAAGCAGAGAGACGAGAAGACAATGTTACAAGTGCGGGTTGAACACTTGCTTGCTGACAACGAAGCTTTAAAAAAGGATGTTAATCGTCTGACGAAAAATTACAACAACATTGCAAACTTTCCTGCTGATAAGAAGATAAGCAATATGGTTGACATTGAGATCTTGCCTCAACACCATTCACAACAAACCGGGCAACAACACCAATATCTTCCACACCATGTTAAACAACATTACGCCACATTCAACAAAAACATCTGCACGAACAATGGTTACAGCAACTCAAGCATCATCAACAACAACGCCACGAACAACACGAACAACCTCAAATCAGACAGTGTGAACAGCGTGAACAAACACGACAACGACAGTGACGAGTATGACAACGTCTCCATATCGTACAACGTATCTTCTCTCCACATAGGTTAAAACAAATGCAGCTTATCAATTCTTCTAATTTATTATTTTGATATAAATTGATTCATTCCTGGTGCAGATTAAGTTTCCAAAAAACTTATACAAGGCGAAATATTTAACCCAAAAGACTAAAAATAAAAAATTTGTGAAAATAATTAAACTTGCAGAGTAGGAATGTTATTTTTCACTTTTGGGACATTTTAATTTATTCCAAAAAACTATCATGTACCCACACAACACTATGGTAAGCATTTATTATGATAATTCTATTTTATTATTGTATGTATATTAATCAATAACAAAAGAGTCAGTTTAACGAGAAACAATTTTTAATGATAGGAAGGGCAGCGACAGCTGGGAGCGCGACGACAAAAACTTCTGCACTATTGAAAAAAATTTGTCCGCACATTTCTGCCACAGATCGAGAGTGGAGGTCCACAGAAGAGTTTCTCCCTCTGCGTTCTACGACATCCAACCCGCACCAGGGCACGCAAAATAATCTTCAAGGCAGTGAATCTCGGGGAGTTAAATCAGATCTGACTTTGGACGACAGTCTTTGTGTGGTGTATGTTACAAATTGTTGAACATTTTATTTTTATGTTTTGTTCAGTTTATGAAGAATCAAAAAATTGCTAGCTAGGTAAACATTTTTTTGAATGTATTGTTTTAGTTAGCTGACAAGCACAAACGTTGAAATCTTGCAGGTATCCGAATCGAACATTCAAACAGCAGATGGAGAGCCTGATGACGAGTAACAGAAGCATGGAGTCGCTGAAAAGCGAACCATGCCTGAAGACTCACAGACAGAGAAGACGACGTCAATCCAACCTGACTGCGAGTGAAGGTGTTTCGAACAGTTACAAAGATGTTTCATCCATCAGCAAAAAGGATAGTGACACATGCAAGCAGTTGAATGACAATGTGTTAAAATATGCTGATACAAAAAGTTTCGAAGTTATTAAAGTTCAACACCTAGAAGCGTATTCACAACATTTACAAAATACTAATATTCTTGAGGAACAAAATTGTCAAGGCCAAGAATATTTGAACAAAAACAACGATTCTTTCTACGAGAATTACCCTCCAACAAAAACAGTCAAACCACCACTGAAAACATCGATGACGACCGCCTCAAAAATTGATTCCAACAATAAAGGTTCAAATGACGCTTCAAATGGTGCAGCAAGAGGCTTTCTCACAAATAAAATAAATGACACAACGACAACAACAACCATAACAACAACAACCACATATTTTAATACTCTCAACGATTCTAACAGCTCAGGCAACAACATTTCTGAAGAAGACATGAAAAAAGTCGACAACTTGAAAGAACTCGTGGAACTCTACAGGAGCCAACTGCAGAAGGAGCAGGACACCTTTATGAGGGAGAAACTTCTGGTCATCGAATATCAGAAGAAGTTGCAGGAAGAATATTCGAGACTGCAAGAAAAGTGTGACATGCTGGAGAACTTGATGAGGGTAAACAGCAAGAGAACTACTTCAACGTCGTCGTCATCAACTTCCGTCATTCAGCCTGATCCATACTCCATCGACATTAAATTTCTTCATAGCAATCCCACCCATTTGTCATCATAGTAGTCATCATCGTCCTTGTTATCATCACCAGCACCGCCTCATCATCATTATCATTATAAATTCATCACTAACATCCTCAGCCGTTTCGAAGGTTGTACTATCAATGATGCCATTGTGGCCATCATCGTTAAATTTATTTGTGAATCGACTGAAAAAACGTTCTAATAAAAATTAAATATATTAATTAATAAATTAATTAATAATTAATATATGAATCTTTCTTTAATAAGTAGATGTATAATTCTGGTAAAATCTGAAGACAGGTGGTAAAACATCATAACGAGTGTAAAAGAGTGAATTGAAAGATGAACGTAAAGATGAATGAATTGATGATGATTGTTTAAATGGACATATAGATGAATGGATAGATGAATTTTTAATTTGTTAAACATTAATCATTCGCATAACTAACGTTATAAACGTTAACACCCGCTTGACGTGAATGCATGTTTCAACTACTCGTTTAGCGTTTGTCGGTTGTTTGGTTGATCGGTTGTCTGGCTGGTTGATGTCTGTCTAAACAGCTGATTGACTAGTTGTCTGATTAATTTTTGGACTATTTTAGAACAGGTCGCCAGGTGGAGTCCAGTAAATTCCTTTCTGCTATTCATTCATTCATTTATTCGTTCGTTCGTTCGTTCATTCATTCATTCATTCATCCATTCATTTATTCATTCATTCATTCATCCATCCATCTAATTAATTTATTCCAACATTTCCAAGAATTCAAATCATTTCAATGCATTTTATCTTTTCCAGAATACCTATTTATGAATAATAATGTATATGTGAATTTCTTATGCTACATTTATGCTACAATTCAAATCATTTCAACGCATTTTATCTTTTCCAGAATACCTATTTATGAATAATAATGTATATGTGAATTTCTTATGCTACATTTTTATATAATACATATAATATATAATATATTCATATTATAAATGTGTGTACGTTTATGTGTACCTATTTGTATATAGAAATGTGTGTTTGGGTATTTTACATGTAAAGAATTTTCACTTCGTAACTAGTGTAACTTATTGAATTAGTTTATTATTTCTACTAATTGAACACTAACCACGTGAATGTGTGAATTATAATTATTTTTTTACTTGAAATTATATGAATATGTGAAAATCTTTACATTCAGTTTTGATTTTGGCTGCCGAAGATTTAATGAAATCTTGTCTGAGAAAAGTTCATTAAACATTGTATATCACTATACGTATCATTGAGGTATTCCCGATCAAGTTCTTTCATTTTTTATTTCACAGCTTAAACAGGCTTTTTTGGTGAAATTAAACCTTAGATGAACATCCAACATCTGACCGCACCTTGCTGAGAACTGCTCGTCGGCGTTTTCATGATATGATTTCTTTTTTGAGAACTCTCATCACATTATTCATAATTTAACATCAGAGATTGACGACTTTATATTCATTTAGATAATAAAATTATTGCCAAGTTGAAAAACCCATAAAAACCAACCACAATGTTATAAAGAACGGGTTTAGTTGTAAAATTAGATAATAGATCCCACAGCCATAAAAGAAAGCAATAACGTTGAGATGTTCAAACTCCAGCCAACCTGCCGTGGTTGGCGTGGCAGTCGGTCCAACTGACGTCCACACAACATCCATCACACTCTCTTCTTTAGCCATATAACTTTTGTTTACTTTATTTTTTTTAATATTTAAACCCTTTTATTGTTTTATAGCAAGTCGAGATATCGCAAAAATACGGACCGAAGAAATGTGGATTCAGCTACTACGGACTTATCGAGGAACCTTCCTGAAGAAGGAAAACATATACAAACACATATAAACACATACAAACACATATAAACACATACAAACACATATAAACACATACAAACACATACAAACTCATACAAACACAGGTACAATGTGGTAGAAATGTTAAGGACGAGCGACTGCAAGCAGAGAACAAACAAATAAACATACAAAAACAAACAAACAAACAAATCAAAACAAATCAAAACCCCAAAACAATGCCCCGCAGGATTTGCAAACATCACGCAATTATTTTCTTTTTTGCATGTATCCGGATGACTGATTGAATGAACGGTGTGCCCGCCTTTGAAAAGTGGTGAGGCAAATATTAAGGTTAAACGCGCTCCTTAAATTATAAGCGCTTTGACGTTCCCTTCGATATTTCTCTGCTCGAGCTTTTTTGAAGTTTTGTATTTTTTGGATATGTTTATTTTAATATCTGAAAAGTTTTTTGTGAGTTTGTTTGCAAGTGTGGTTCGTACGTATGGTGTGTATGTGTGGTGTGTATGTAAGGTGTGGTGTGTATGTGTGTTGTGCATGTGAGGTGGAGTGTGTATGTGTGGTGTGTGTGTGGTTAGTATGTGTGGTTCGATTGTGTTGTTTGTTTGTGTGGTATGTTGTGTTAGTGTATATATTTTCTTGTCATGCACATAAAAATATCTAATACATTTGATGGTACCTCGTTAGGAGCAAGAGTTACAAACACACATAAAGAAAACAATCATCGAAACGCAAACACAGACGTTAAGTTAAACAGAAGTCAAAAAATCAAACAAAATTACAAACGCAGGAAACAAAATCAACCGCATATACAAACATACATGCTCACATACCAACATTAAAACACACACACACACACACACACATATATATACACATATTCAGACATACAAAAAAACTAACCAAACAAATTTTTTTCAATCTGAATTCAATCTGAAATGAAAATTAACGAAATTAGAAAAAAATTCAATTAAACTTTTCGGCAGATCAATCTCCCATGCTTCCAACTGTGAAACACAACGTATCAAACCGTAATCCAACCTCACCATGAATAATAATTTCTCATCCTGTTGTTGATGCTGCTCGCTTCTTGCTATTTATCTGAGAAACAAATATTTTGTGCCATTAATTATCTATCATTTTTTCTTCCGACATTAGCTATTTTTGGGAATTTTGTAGTTTTTTTTGGTAAATTTTGTTTTTTTTTTAGTTAAAAATATCGCAATGTCGCAGAGATTTTTTTAACTAAAAAAAAAACAAAGTTTTCCAGGGAGTTGGATGTTCCGACTAATGATCAATTGTTAGCCAGCATGCAAACATCCTCTCCCAAACAATTCATTCATTCGTTCTTTACATTTAAATAATCTCTCTGAAATGCGTTAGCTATTTTTTGTGGTATAACATCTTGTGGTTTCGGCACGTAAGTTCGTTTATGTGAACATGTACCTATCTAATCATTGTTTACAAAATGCGCGTGTCGGTTTTGTGTTAGTTGCTTGCATGTGTGGTGTGTGTGTTTGTGTGTGTGTGCGTGTGCATTTACTACTACTATTACTAGCACTACTACTGCTGCTACTACTACTTCTGCTACTACTACTACTTTTACTACCTCTACTACTTCTACTACTACTACTATACAAGTAGTAGTAGTAGTAGCAGCAAAGTAGTGGTAATAAAGTAGTAGTAATTAAGTAGTAGTAGTAGTAGTAGTAGTAGTAGTAGTAGTAGTAGTAGTAGCAGTAGTGGTAGTAGTAGAAGTAGTAGTAGTAGTGAAAATTTGAATATTTATAATATTGGCAGGGTGTATTTTACTGGAATTTCATTGGACGGACACTCGAAGTTTTCGATTTTTTGAACATACATAAATTCACTTTATTACTAAGCTGCTGGTCTGTTCCTCAGGTACTCCTGTAAACTGTTACTCTGCTTTTTGCATGCATGTTTGTATATATGTTTGTTTGTTCGTATGTGTGTATGTGTGTATGTAGTATGTATGTGTGTGTGTGCGTGTGTATGTATGTATATGTGTATGTATGTATTTTATTTATTTTGAAGAATTTATATAAATCGCAAATTAAAAGAATGTATGTATGCATGCATGCATGTATGTGTGTGTGTGCGTGTGTTTGTGTATGTGTGCGCGTGTGTGTTGATGTGTGCGCGCGTGTCTGTACGTATGTGTGTACGTTCGTTATGTGTCTTGTCTGCATGCGTTAATGTTTTTTTCATCCTGGTTTATGCGTTTATAATGTGAGTAGGCTGCTATTAAATATCTCTTCTATATACATACATGTCCCATACGTATACACATGATCTGTTTATTTTATTACGAGGTTTTTAATTATCTTCATAATGTTGAATGAAGTTTTGTTAATGTTGGCAGAGCCCTACTTTGCAAGGTTAATGTTGGCAGAGCCCTACTTTGCAAGGCCTTTCATCATTGTCTTTTACTAAATTTTTTATTTTCATTATTTTATTACTGAAATTAAATTTTTTTATTGAATTAAAAAATTAAATTTTTTTATTGATTTAAAAAATTTAATTTCAATGGCGGATTTGGTTTTGCATTTTCACCGTAGCCAGTCTAACATTAAATATATTTTTTTGGCATCACTCTTGCATCCTCGCCTAACTCCAGGTTGTTTATTTTATTCATTCATTTGTCAGATTAATTATTCATTCATTCACTTACTTGGGCGTGATGTTTATCATTTTTTTCCATTTCGCAGCTCTCCTTCCACTCTCTTCATTCATCCTTTCATCTTCGGTCACTCAATTACTAGTTCATTCCAGCCTGTGTGAAGCCAGCAGTGTAGGTAGGAAGTGTGGAAAGCAACAAGCAGCAGTTGGACATACAAAACGACGTACGGCATACAAAGTACAACACAAACAACATACAAAAAAACCACAAAAAAACACATAACAAACAATATACAACATACAATAAACATAAAGTAAACAAAATACAACACAACAATCAAACAACATACACACAATCAATCAATATACAAACACATACAGACAATATACAAGCAACATACATACACAACAGCAGCAGCAACAACAACAACTTAGAACCATCTCAAATATTTTTTGATGACCACACCTTTGTGGTTTAGCTCCTCTAGTGAACATTTTGTTAGGATGGATGATGTCTCATAATCATCATCGTTGTCGTCATCATCATCTTCATCATCATTGGTTACCATGACGATGATGGTGATGTTGTTGTTGATGATGATATCACTGATGTAGATGATGATATGATGGTGAGGATTTTAATGATGATGATATGATGGTGAGGATTTTAATGATGGTGATATTTCCACACATATTATCAACAATTACTTCAGACGACGGCAGTGTTCCAACCGCGTTTTATTTGTTGTCTCTATAAAATCGGAGTTGATGTTCAACATCAATATTATATCAATACTTCATTTCTACAGTACGGAAAATTTAATTCAGACAACAACCTAAATGAATTAAAGATTTAAAAATAAA